TTAAAAAAAAAACGGTATAAAACTGATTTAATGAAGTAAAATCAAGCGATTGTCGTCACTGTAATGAGAATTTTGAGACATCCCAATCGTTATTAACCTATATTTGGTGGGGAAAAACATGTCACCAAAGTAACCAGTTTCTTTGTTGATATGTAACTATTAGAAAGCTTTCAATTTTTTTCTACTTTGAGTCTCTCTTCTTAAGGGGTTTGTTGAACTTTATTTGGTAGTAATAGTGACTTACGAGACAGTAAGTTTTCCCCTAGAAAATGCAACTTTTTTTTTAAACTAATAAACATTCATTAGTAATGAAAAATGGATACAGTCACTAATAATTGGGATAATTTTATTATCTGCTATACAAAAGTGAAATATTTCTTGCGTACGCATGATTGAACCACTACGTAACTGATGAATTCATTTGAGTTATCTGAAGTAGGGAGAAAAGATCAAACAAGAAACTTAGCATATTTGGAATTGACAATAGTTATATTTTTACAAATTAATTGGGTTGGCAAAATTCAATTAGGTTCCACCGTGTGTGAATGAAATAGTGTGAAATCTATAAGAGACTTATCGTTTCTAATGTTAAATTCGTTACTCTATAGCATCCGGAAGATTTCTGCTGCCATTGCCTTACGTTTTTGACCATTTGGGAAAAATGTGTTACATCTGATCATTTAATCATCAGTAAACTGATGTAATCTTCAATCCAGTCCATAACTAGGATAGTTATTTAAAGGGGTAAATGGGGAATGTTATTATTTTTCAGTCAAGGAAATGACAACATAAACAAATTTTTACCGAACATTCATGAATATATCAGATTTAGATGTCCTTTACTACTACCAGGCAAATATAATACGGGATTGTAAACCAGCATTTTGATTGCTAAACTTAAACAAAATTGTAGTAAGTTACTGAACACCATTATTTGTTTCGTTTCTAACAATATAATGATTTCTACTGATTACTCAACTTAATCTAACTAGTACAAACTTGGCACTGATACCTACAATATAACGATTGATTTCACTGGATGAATATAAATTCACTCATAATTGTTGTACTGATTTTGTTCCACTGGGTGTTGAATTATCAACAAATGATACATATATTTTTATGGCATACGAAACGCTGTAGCTAGGTTTAGTTGTGATTAGTAAAGGTTATATGGGCCTCTGATGGTGAAATTGGGTAAATTACTGACTAGCGTTATATACTACTTATTTCGATATAAGTAGCACACACCACAATATCACCACAGATTATACACAAAAATCAAATTATTACTGTGATTGACAAGAAATCAGTACGAATATAAACGAATATTCCATTCCTCTTTCTGAATTTCGGGTTAATAATGTTTGTACTTTTGTTTTTACTCAACATTGAGGGATACATTTTCTAAGTGAGGATTTGCTTCACTCTTGATGAGCTGCTTTATCAAACCTTAGTTTATTTGTACAAACTAAGATCATATTATACCGATCTATTCACATTTGTATGTTGAGCCGAAACGGAATAAAATGTAATCATTGACTTCAAAATTGATGTAGACAATGTAGATATTAAATAACTGAGGAAAATAATACCGATGGAATAGCCTGACTTCTAAGTAGTATCAGTCCTGAATTACGACTACGCCTGTCATGCGAACAGCTCAGTTGGCATTTAAGGTATGATGATGATAGTTATATTGAAATATGATACTAGTTAATGAAGTCAGTGATTGAATGATTAGTCGTAGGTTGTGCGGACGTCTTGCTTATAATCCAGAATATGACATTAGGTCATTTTTTTCAGATCTCAGATGACAAATTCTAAAATTAGTCATACTGATAAAAATTTATAGATCTTTGATTCTTGTCATAACTTTACGACTATTTAGGTTCGTATGCTTAACAGCAGCCAAAGTTTAAAAATTCGTTAGATTTAAGAAATAAACCAAACTGCATAAAAAATTGAAGGATATATATAAGCTGATGAACAAATTAAATGGAGAAGTGTTCTGGTGGATAGTCAACTGATTATAAGGTGTTCCAACCAACAGAGAGAGAATGAAATTTAGTTGTTTTTCTTGACCCTTTCAGTCTGAACTTCTAAAGTTATAGGAAATTTGTTATTTATTCTCAGAAAAACACAGAACGAAGATCTGTCGATAAAAAAATAAAATTTAAACCTCCAAAGTCTATGAGCTATATGACTATCAACTTGAAATGCAGCATAATAACAGACATTTTGATGGGAAGGATTTCAAATCATTTCTGAAATGTTTCTTCACAGTAACCCTAAAATTGGTATTCTCAAGTTGACCTATGCTTAACGAAAACATTAAAAACAGTTTCTCGCATTCTATCTCTTCAATGTATAATGCGAAATTCACTTGTTCTTGTGAAAACATATGTCCTAGTCATCCTATGAGAATCGTCTACTAAATAGTCCAGAAACACTTTTCATTGTAAACAAGAAAGGAGTGAAATGGTTGGAGGGAAGTGATATTATAGAACAGTTTAACAATATCAACCATTAGATTAGTTTATAAATTACGAAAGGCAATATGCTTGTGTCTCTTCTACTTTACCTTTGTCATACACAACGAAACGCTACATAAAAGAAATTTGTTATTAGCGTAGACCTAATCTATGAACTTGCTTTCAATTATTTATTTAGTTTCACAAATCACTCTTCTTACCTCACTCTTTCTGAATATCTTTCATTTCCGAATTTGTATTGCGGTATTACTCAATTTATTTCCAAAATTATTATTGTCCATTCAGTTTCCATGATATTCCTGACTCATTCGTCATTCGGATCCTCATTATTTCATCCGTTTTCCTGGGACCTCAATAGCTATTGTTATAGATCTTCTTTCATCCTGTTCTATTCTTGATTGGCTAATATTTCCCTTCCATACTAAGGTAAAGTGTGACAACCTCTTGACGGGACTTATATTGTTTTCGTCTAAACAGAAGTTCTCATAGTTTGTTTTGTGACAGTTCAAAAGTATAAAACCATATAGTACTCTTTTATTCAGCTGTATGTAAAATAGTCGTCTGATATGAACTTACGAGTTTTGTTTATCTTTCTAGGAATATCAATATATTTTCTCACAAATAAATCACGCCAACAAGGTAAGAGTCAAAAGCGAATCCTAAGAGTTATCAAACTAGTTCATCTAAGAGAGTGATTGGTCACTTTTTCTAATATAATTACATTCTCACTGAACATACACGAAAATTTCGGGAATTATGTTTATATGGATAAAATTAGACTATTAGGTTATGATACGGTTTTTAGGTGTTTCTTTGTATATCTGAGCTTTCATACTACTGCCAAAATCCTCATTGAAACCATGCTACACTTTATAATAAACTAACACACATAAGAAGCAATAAATCATATGATTTCATGAATTATTCAACCGTAGTTATATCGATCGATCTATGGTGTCCGCCAGAAAACTAAACTCATTTGGGGACATTTTAATACTTATATTGTCTTATAGTTATTGGTAAAATAGATAACCTAAATGATGCATCAATAAATTACATCAACAATGTGAATGATTAAAATCTTAAGAATTATTTATAAAATAGAACATTTCAAACAGTAATCATAGAGGTAAATCCTCATAATGCCCCCGAATGCCCTGGTACGGCCGAGAGTGGGGAGAGTCTGCTCTTCCTCTCGAAATGCTCTCATATGGCCACGTGAATATATAGCCTCTGTCAGGGAAGTCCTACTCACTGCCTTCTCGTGGCAAGGGTGTTGTTCACAAAAGTGAGAGGACGAAAAGCGAATGTCCGGCGCTTTAACCGGGTTGGTGGATGTGGAGGATCCACCTAGGGGAGTTGGAAAACCACGATTCCAAATCAATGGTGCACATGAGCTCCAGGATCCTGAAGCAACTAATGGCGTATGAACCAATTGTTTGTCGCTGGCTACCGTGGAACTGCATCTCCTTACAATCCTCCACTGCCTTGTGGATCAGATCTTTAAGTGAAAGGCTTGGGGTGTGGCCCCCTAAGAAAACCACCTGCTTCAGTCTGGGCACCTGGGCAGTATCACAGCCCTCACACAAATCGAATGAGTTTCGTGAGGCGCATATTTATCTGGTGCTTTTTTGTACCAATATTTATGTGTTTAAATAAAATAAACTAAATAAATAAAAATCCTCATCATGTATTCACTACTATGCATTAGTTCACAATAAAGATTTACATATGCGTCATCTTTTCATAGATCTTCAGCTACTGTATTATAAGTTTTCTTCAATTATAAGAAATAATGTCTTATTTGATGCCTTTGCGTATCCGACTAGTTGAAATCAAATTAAAATAATATTCATTTGAAAAGGGAATCCATTTAGCTACTGAGTCCAGATAGCCACTAGCTTGTACAATGAGGTGAAGTTTGATTCATTTATGCATTGGCTTTTCGAATTTTCCCATTGATGTTTTGGACTACAATTGAACACAGGCTTATAGAACAACATTTCATAAGATCACTTTGGAATTTATACAGTTCACATCACGAATCGATCTTTCTTAGACCAATATTAAAAATTGAAAGCATTAAATAAGCATTTCGTTCAAGTTTGAGACTCCTCAGCATCATTCGTACAGGACCGCCTTAGCAGAAATAAAAGTTATTGAAATCAGCACATGACTGAGAATTCTCTCAGCTAATCAGAATGACTTTAATGTACAGTACCTACAGCTTTAATCAGATCACAGTATTTCCAATATTCCCATTTTCTTTGATCTAGGTCAAATCGTTCAATATTTAAGTGTAAAATTACCTTATGATTTAACCACCTAGTTGTAAGTTATACAATACTAATATATATTTTATCTAGACGCTAGTTATTGTGTACACCAACACTCAGTTATACATGTCAATACTGAACAAAAAAAAGAGAATAAATACTTTTCTTTGTAACTATGAGGGCTTTATCCACAAATTGAAGTCATAGAATCCAGTATACAATCACTTACTTGAGTGAATGCATATCCTAATGGTTCTTTATATGATACAATAGTTTTAGTTTTATTTACATCTGTTGGATCAGGATAAATAAAACTTGGTGAATTATCATTTTCATCTAATACATGAATACGTATTGATACATGCTCAGATAATTTTGGAATGCCTTTATCATGTGCACTTATTAATAATAAAATAATTGGTGTTATTATGGTATAGTTTGTTTTACTAGACAGTTCAGTTATTCTATTATCATAATAAAAGTGATTGATATGTTCAAGTACTCCATAATTTGGAAATGGATTAGATACTATATCTTTATACTTCATAATTAATCCTTCACGATCAATAATAGATTCTATGTACAATTTTACATCGTATAGGGTTGGTTCATTATTAGAAGAGGAAACATTTTTCCTGGGAAACTTTTGTGAATGTAATTTAAAATGTGGAATATATTCATTAATATGTTTTGTTTCTTGTAAACCTGTAGAAATGATTAGATCTTTTGAATGTAATTTCAATTGTTTAATGTCATTATGTATTCCTAAACTGTTACCGAATGATGCAAGGTAAATGTGTGTTTGTTCAGTGTTCTCTTCGATCTGTACAACTAATTCTGCATTTTTATCAACATCGTCATCAGTAATTTGAAAATTACCCACCAGCTGACTAACATTATTATTTTCCGTTATAGTAAATTCAAAATATGGTTGGGAATATGTAGGTGAGTTGTCATTGTAATCTAATACATTAACATTTATCTTCACCTTAGTCATTCGTTTTGGTTCACCATGGTCTGCACAAATTAATGTCACACTGAATTTAGTCAATTTCTCGCGATCTAAATTTCCCATAGTACTAAGTGTCCCAGTAGTCGAGTTGACCGTGATTAGATTCATTATATATGTTGGAGTTTCTTGATCTAAACTAAAATGGAGCTTCGCATTACGACCCTCATCTTTATCAGTAGCATGAATGGTGAGAAATTCGAAGTTTTTTTCATTTCTTTCCGGACTTGAATCTTCCATGACGTCGATTGTGTAAGTATTTTGGTCACAGACTGGGTCATGATCATTTATATCTAATACGTTGACTGTGTATGTCAGATTACTTGATAAAGAGGGCATTCCACCATCCCAGCATACTACATTAAACTCAATGATTGGAAATTCTTCTCTGTCAATAAGCTTCTGCAGTGTTAGTTTATACTTTTGATTAGAATTCGACATTTCTTTGCTCATTATTTCACTATCAACTGAAATTAAGCGCAAAACATTCGGAATAGTTTGGTTAGTTAATTTACAGTTCACTTGGGCATTTTTTCCAGTATCTCCATCGAAAACATCTATAATCCCAATATCTTGTCCAGGTGGTGTTTCTTCAATTAATTCTAAGCTTTTAGAACCAGTAGGTGATATAATGCGAATGCGAGGAAAGTGGTCATTTACATCAATAACATTTACTATAACCTGAGTAGTTGATAATTTAGAAATATGAAATGATTTTATTTGTCTTGATGTAGTGTTGTCCGGATTTTTAGCAAATACTTTTAAAGAATGACTAGATTTTAGACGATGATTTAATCGTCGTTGTAGTTTTATTTCACCGGTTTCTGAATGAATATAGAAATAGTTACCATCATCACTATCATCTGAATAGGATACAAAACTGTAAATTATCTTTCCATTTTCATCAGAATCTTCATCATCGGCTTCAATCTGCGTTATTAAGTGACCTATGGGTGTGTCTTCACTTACATTTACAATATACATAGATTGTTTAAATGTTGGCATATGATCATTACAATCTTCCACAAGTACTGTTACATTAAGATAACATTGATGATCAGCTGACGAATAACCGTCATCTGCTACAATTTCAAATGTATAAGTTTTCTGTTCTTCATAATCCAACTTGTGAATAAGTTCTAACTCTAAATAAATATTAGATGTAGTAACATTTTTCGATGATGAAAAACTGTGTAATTTAAAGTAATTTTGTATACTTTGACTAGTTGCTATACTAGAATCAGTGTTTATCCAAATTCGATCTTGTTTAACAGAATTCCCTCCAATAACATCATCTGGATCATATGGAGTATTCAAAGTGAAACGTGTCTCATTAACCGGTGCATCTTCACGTATTCTAATAATTTGTTGATCTGATGGTAAAAATTTACATCCATTATCATTTATATCCCTGAGTTCAATGATAATATCGAAAATAACTACCAATTTATTACTTACAGGTATTTTATTTCTATTTCGATTCGAATTATTTGAAAACAATGTAGTATTTAAACAATTCACACTAAAATATAATTCACAAATTGTAGAATGAATTAAATTTGGTATCCACTCTTTAATAACTTTACCATATTTTCCAGGTTTTACATTTTGATAATCAATATTACATAATAGTTCTCTATCTAATCTATGTACCACAGTTATATCACCTGTAATATGATCTACTGTAAATAATTCTGATGCATCATCTGAATTATTAATTTTTATAAAATATAAATTATTTAATCCACCTTGTATATATTTTAATAAACTTCCAATTCTTGTATTTAATTGTATTTCTTCATCCAAACGAAATCGTACTGTTCTTGATTGAATTAAATTAATATAAAATAAGATAATAATTAATAAATGACATTGTTGACGTGCAACTAACCAGTTCCATTGTAAGAAATCAATTCTATGCATACCATTTAAAATTGATCATATAGTGTAAATGCCTTTGTATTAGGTGTCATTATAAAGTATCAATTTAATAGTTGAATAAACATAGATACCTTCATTGTATTACTGATCAATCTCTGTTTCTGATTATCTATGTACTATTTTGGACATTAAGTAAATGGGAATAACTATGCAAAATTTTATTTTGTGAAAACGTATTTATTATTTTTTTTTAAAAAAACAAAAAAAATCCAAAAAATCGTTTCATTATTAAGTGAGAAATGATTCTGATTGGTTAATCTCGGAATGAATCAGTGCGTGGGTGTGATAATAATATATTTAGGAAAAAAATAATTTTAACCAATGAAAATACAAGAAAATTGAAATGATATTTGAAAACTTTAGTGAAACAAATTAATTGAGTTATTTTTGTTATTAAAATTATAAAAAGTGTTGAAGGAGATAAAATTTTTTTGGGGAAATGTAATAATTTTACAAAGATACATTTTGATGCTATCAACCCATTTTATATAGCTATCCTAACTGTCAAATTCATCAATGTGAAACAGTTACATCAATTGTGTTTTATACCGTTGTTATGGTAGGAATATACACTTTACCTATGTTGAAAAAGAAATATCAAATAAGACTGAAATTTATTCCTTTCCCGTTTAAGTGGCTATCTTATTTAATGAAAAAGTTTTAGGACAAGTTTGGTAGTATATAATGATGGTCGGGCAATGAATGTATTTCAGAAGAAAATCGATGAGGAAAGAACGGGAACGGAACGCAATTGGTATGAAAATGCATGAACAATAATAATACGAGACGATGGACTGATATTTTCAGAAGGAATAGTCAAGATTGAGACAATTCATTGATAGTTTGCAAATTAACTGTTTACTGCATGGTTGTCACATTTTAGTGAGATTGTCCCCACTCGTGTTCTTGTTCACTACTAGTGTATCTATTAAGTGTTTGAATTAGGAATGCATATTTATGTTAGATATTTAATTTTAAAACACATTACAATACCAATTTCAATGATTGGAAGTATGTTGGTATAGATTATGAAGACTGAATATTACATTTTGCCAGATACTTTAATCCCTTGTTTTATTTTTGAACTAGACAGAATCACAAGATATATTAGCGCAGCACATTGAGAACAATCTGATGACACATATACTTATTAAGAACATTTATATATAAAAATAATAGGTCAACTAGAGTAGAAATGGTAGGTAAGAGGAGACAAGGATAATAAAGAAATAATGTGACAACAATGTGAAACCTCATCACTCTGGATAATGAGCTAATATTATTACATATAAATGGTCTTAACAATTATATGTGTGATCAGATTATTCTCAATGTATTGCGCCAATATATCACATAGTTTTGATAAAATTTATCTTCTTTTTATACTATCGATAGAATCATTAGAACTCTGAGATGCAGGTACATCCAGCTGATGTGTCTCAAATAGGACGAAACGCACGTCCTGGATCCCACTGTCAGCCACTATCCATCTTTGCTTAATAACAACTTCGTTTAAAAAATAACCAATACTACCAAACAACTTATTGACATGGTAATATACGTATGTACGTTTTTACAATTAATTAACTACAGAATATTAACCACTGTTATGTATATCATAGTGCAAATCAAAATCTGTCGAATAAGTTGCAATGATACCGTTGGTCTAAACGACTCAACATCACATGCATTGTGTCGAGACCATAGACATTGATTTCTTTCTATTTGGTACAAGTTAATAATGTGTATCTGTGATCTTGAGGGAACTGATACTCATCGGTGTATTCGATCCTGCATTAACCAGCTTCATAGTTTGAGATGTTACAACTTAAGTCCACAGGAGGTCAGTTGCTATCAGAATAACTCATTGGTAATATCATATAAAAATGTTATCCTAAAGAATAGAAAATTATAAGTCACCTATTTACAGAATAAATAAGTTCATTAAATTACAACCTACCTAAATAAAATGTAAAAAGAAATCAGAATATTTTATTCAATCAAAACAAGCTTGATCATCGAATTATCATTTCATTTAGGTCAAGGATGTAAGATATATGTGTTTAATCATATTTACCTTAATAGTATTTTTTAAAGAAACGACTTACACTTATATTTAAAATTCAATTTTCTATTCAATGGGTTATTACATGTATTAGGATAAGAATTTCATCAAATTCAAGTCTAACCCATAGTTAGTGATATTTACAAATTCACTCTTTACTTGATAAACATTGTACGTTTAAAATTACACAGTACACAGTATATAGTACAGTTGAATAGACAAAATTTATTAGTTTCTGTATAGTTTCAAGAAAGATAGTGACGAAATACAAGAGATCATTCTATTCTCCATATTAAATTCATCATAAAGCTGAACAAATAGTATGTACGTGTATATGTAAAAATCTTGTTAACAATTTAAGTGTATATGATATTTTTAAATAAAAATATTTACTAAAAGTCGTATCTCTATTCAAATGACATCCAATATGCATTAAACGTATTAAAAATTAATTTAATAGTTTAGTTCATGAGTTAATTGAAGCTAGAACATCATAGAAAGCCTGGAAGGACTCGACAGCCGTTCTGTCCTAGTGTGGAACTCTTCAGTAATACATGCTCACGATCCTGTCTCACGAGATTCGAGCCTATGACCTATTGGTCTCTCACGTGAACACTTAACCTCCAGACCACTAACCTAGTCGCCATCCAATAGTGTTACTGTCTAACTTCTACCAATCCATAAAACTCCTTCCTCATAATTATCAAATGTAACATAATCATACATATTTTAATGTTTGATGAGTTAATACTTTAAAACTCAGACATTAAAAGAATGAATTAAAAAACGAAATGAAACTACAATATTTAACATCCTAGATTATATGTTAGTAAACACTGTATTGTATCATTTTATGTAACAATAAAAACAAACAATCTTTCAGAGACTAGTTGGTTCCTGTCTATATAAAGATCATACTGTATATACTTTGATAAATCAACTTCATTCATCAGTCAGTAGTAATTTTAAGTTATGATTGATTAAAAAAAAAAAAGATCTTTACTACTTTCACGTATATCATAGAAAATTAATCATAAATGATCATTTGACAAAAATTTTATTTTTGTTTTTATTTTTCAATAGTAGTATGACTTGTCATTGTACAATATGAATGTAAAAAACAAACAGACCAACTAATAAACAACCAAACTTTATTGAATGGGATATCAAGTGTAATCTACATTCAAATCTATTAACTATCCTTTATTATAAATGATTTACTATTATTTATAAAATGCATAAGTAAAAGTAAGCATAGAAATACAAAATTATTTCATATTTAAAACTGTCAATGTTATCAGTTGTAAAAATAATCTAGATTATTTTGAAGAGTTGACAAAAAAAGAAGAAGAAGAAGAAGAAGGGTACTACCATGAAGTATGGTACTACTACCATTATTACCATCAAATGTGAATTCGTCGTTTGGTTTACTTCAAAAACTAAACTCATTTGTTATCAGAATGTTGTTAATCTTGGCATTATTTGTGTTTTGTTTTTGTTTGTTTGTTTTTTTCATTGAGATATATGTAAACTACTTGTCAAGATAACACCATAGAATCTATGTCATTTCAATTGATAGTATAATGGAAATAAATAACGAAGACAAATTTGGTTAATGAATAATGAATAAAAAATTTTCAAAAAAATAAAGAAATCTATTCATTTGGTTTTGTTTACTTACATCTTCCTATTATTATTTAGGACTGTAATCGTGATGTCTCTTGTTGGCATATGTGCATCTTGTGCTGAATGCCTCAGTATTGCCTGAAGTCATAAGCTTTAAAATTAAAGATGGATAATGGCCAGTAGTGGAAAGTAGGACACGCGTTTCGTCCTATCTTGGATATATCATTTTCTGTCAGTTAATTTATTACAAATAAAATGTTTTAGTTACCATTATTTAATATGCTTTGAATGTTCAATTATACTACTTAAAAAATATTGATCAATATTGGTCTTTTATAAGCATAGATGAATAGTGGATAGCAGTGGAATGCAGGAGGCGCAGTTTCGTCCTATTTTGGACTCGTCAGCCTGATGTACCTGCATCTCAAAGTTGATATTCACTCTGAGACTTGAGTCCAGTACCGTTCGCTTCAAACTCCATAGTGTTATCCACTCAGCCACTGAGTCCTGATAGCCAATAACTTGTGCAATCGGGTGAAGTTTAAATTCACTTAGTATTGTTTGTTTGTATCTTCCCCTGTGATGTTTAGGACTGCAACTAGTCAGTCTCTTGTTAGCCATATGTGTATACTGTGCGTATTGCCTCGATATAGCCTTACTTCACAAACATTATAAACAACCAATGAGAAGATACAAACAAACAATACTAAGTGTATGGATCTTTTATGTTTTTAAGTAAAACAAAAGGTTATGTTTGAGAATATCTTTTTATGTTTGATTAGACACAACTCTGATAATGTGAACACGTTTTTATCCAGGATTTGTTTAATTTGACTAAAACAGGAACAATGAACTTTGCAAAATAATATGAAGTCCTTTATTTCCTGAGTTTTTGTCTTCTACTTACAAACAAGCAACAAAAATTGTTTTTGTTACCATAAATTGCGTCTTACACCTCAAATTTATATGCCAAAGCATATGCATTGAAAGAATGGAAAGAAGGGTTAGTGTCCACATCTTCAAGCACATTACACAGAAGTTTAGATTAAAAGAATACTATATTTTCAGCAGAGTAATTAATTTTTATTTAGTGACAGAATGATGTTCATTTCTCAAAGACTGAAGCAGTCGATATATCAATATTTAAGCAAAACTTGTACGTCTGAAAGGGTACAGTTGTCAGTTTTACTTCAATATGGCGACCTAGATCCTAAATGTCTTTTAGGTTCATTATTCTCTTTGAGATTAATTACAATTTCTTCAATCTCATCCGATCTGTACTCAGCTAGTTAGCTGTATTTTATTTTCTTATGTATCCCAAAACTCTTTTATAGATAACTCACTTCATCTCCAAAAAGTTTTGTTTTGATGCTCTTATCAGTTTTCTCTTCTAGGATACTCATATATTCCACTTATAAATAGACAGCTGATTAAACAGAATCTTCAATTCATCCACAGTTGTTGTCTTCCGTTTCC